CTGCTTCAAGACAGGCCATCTAGCAATGACTGTGGTCAAAAATAGGTTTGGTTTAGCAGTTAGGGGAATTGAGATTGAAAATCAGTTGGGTCTTAATTTAGCTGAATCACCAAAACTTGATGAAATGCCATAAAGCTGTTTAAAAGACGAGATCTTTCCCAATGGAGGAGCTGATGTCATCCACACAGCTGCCAAACCATCAAAAACTTGGCTATTTTTTTATTTTTAAGGAAAAATTCACAAAAATGGGAAAAACCAATTTTGATTCTTTTCTCTTCAAATGTATGTAAATCTGGTTTTTACTTATGCAATTTTTAGGCTACTTTATGCATTGTATTTGTGCTTTCTTAACCTATACATTACAGAGAAAATTATACTTAGAACATAATTTCAGCTTTCTGTTTTTAATTTTCTTATTTTACTACTGAATCCTTAAACCTAACAGAAAATATGGATGTTCCAGACCCAAATCTGAAAGACAGTAGATTTTTCATAGCAAATTTACATAATGGTGAACTTTCTAGTAAACTACAAGTCTCCACTGAGATCAGGCAATTGAGATGTATGTTCATCACTTCTGAAAACAATCAACAGTGTGATGAAGAAACAATCAGAAAGATGAACACAATGGCTTTTAGTAGGGAGGGAGAGAAGCAACCACCTCTGAGGTGTGTGGGTCCAGCTCCATCTGCAGAGCTCACCAGACTGGTCTAGCAAGGCTCAGCCAGAAGATGTGGTTTCCCACTCCATCCCCATGGGGTTCTTGTTCCAGAAGCAGCCAGACAGTACTAGGAGGGTTGCCTCCCCCTCTGCCTCCCCTCTTCCAACCACACACCCTCCTTGCCCCACCTTGGGTTGCCGCTGGCATCCATCAGCCCCTCCAAACTGCAGATTCAACCCACATGACAGAGGAAAACCAGGCTAGCAAGTTGGATCAGTTCACAGAGGTATCCAAGTGCCAAAATGAATGCAAAATAAGCACCAAGAGTGTGTGTCTGGGAAAGGGGAGGGGAGAAGGTAAAGCTCATCCCCAGCAGAAACCTGTTGGATCACTTAATCACATATCATGAAACAGAAACCTCAAGGTTTAATTTCAGAGCCAAAGGAATCAGTCTCACTTGTCCCTCAAAACTCCTTCTAGTCCCAGTCTTTGTGCCAAAATGAGCATTTGGCTATCCAGCATACATCCAGAGGGAGGAAAAAAAGGATTATTAAATCTGAACCAGTATACTGACCTGGTTCATAGCTCAGCTCTGTGAGTAGTTTTGGTGACCCACGAGAAAGTGGAGCAGTGGTGAGGGACTGTGGGAGGCATGATATCCTCTGTGGTAGCAGCAGCAGCCTACTAGCTTGAACTCCATGAAACTACTGCCTCTGGCTGAGGTTCCTAACGTGGTCAGAACTGATCTCAGCTAGTGAGTCCTGTGGCCAGACCCTCTATCTGCTACCAACCACACACTGATCCTCTGCTGCTCGTCACACAGCTACAGGGCAGGTTGATTCAGCTCACTGATGGGGCAGAAACCTTTCCTCCTCTTTTGACTGGCTACCCAAAACAATCTGAAAGCTGATCTAGCAGAAAAATCATCTTGTTACCATGTGATTTCTACATCTAACACAAGTGAAGGAGGAAGGATAGAAGAAAGGGAGAGGACAGGCTGGCCATCTTGGCAATAGCTCACCACCAGAGAGGCTCTGCAACCACCAAAGGCCACAATCCACCCCTCTTTTCATCCTAGTTTTGGAGATCACACCCTAGTTTTTTATTCCACTGTATGCTCTTACGTGAGTACATAGTTGCAGGTCTGCACCACAAACCAGATCAGTTTGTAAAGAGAAAAACTTGCTTTTAACTCCAACCACTCCACTGGGCTGCCACAAGTCAGAGGGAGGTTACAGGCAAGGTCTGTGGCCAGGGAGAGAATTGCCTTTTTTAGCACTAAAGATGAAAAAAAATGAAGTTTAAAACACGTCCATGTGTGTCAGACCACAGGAAAAGTTTATATTTCAATGAAAGAAGTCTGCCTTCTGAAAAAGATGATCTACTTGAAGGAGTCAGTGAAATAAGACCTAAGCATTTTTTTGTAAAATGGAACTGCAGACAAACTATTTTACAGTGTTTTTCCTCTTGTGCTCTTTACTATTAACAATAGGAGACATGCAGTACTTGATAAAAGACTACTGCAGGGCTACAGTGTTTGCCACTGGACATCAAGTCCTGAAAAAAGGTAAGCAGATGCTGATGGGCAGATTCATCAGATCTGCTGGAGTAAGCCCCCCTGATGCTCAGAGATCAGAAACCAGCGCTCAGTCTGAGAAATTGAAAAGTTATACACTGTTACCCCACAAGTGGTAAATAAAAAAAAGTGGTAAATAAACACACAGCCCAAGGTCAGTGCTAAGAGACCACAGCAGCAGAGACATTGCTAGCTCTGCAATCAAGACATCGCGTCTTAATACTTTAATTTAACATGCTGTTGAAAATTTGGCTGCAACAGTTGACTGGTCACTAAACTAATTAATGTCTTTTGCACAAATTCTTCCTTGAAGAAGTGCTTATTTTGGTGTAAAAAAATCTGAACAGAACAAAGCTCAGTTTTCCTGTTTCAGTTGAAAAACCCTATTAATTACATAAGGCATCCCATTTTTCATGCTACTAACTATATTTATATATATATAAAATAATTTTTTTCTGATAGAGATGAAGATAAATGCATCCATTAAATAAAAATATATTATGGTGAAAGAATGTATACATTATAGACAAAACCACTCAAGAGTTCAGGAACACTGAACTTGCCCTGAGTGCAGGTAAAATAGTAAGTTAATGCTCCACATTTGCCCAATTACAACAGTACCGTCTTCTTGCCTGATTAACCACAACAATCTGAAAACTCCTTTTTTGGATACATTTAACAGAATCTTGATATTTAATTGAAAAAGAAAGTATTAGAATAATAGCAATATTTCATCTGACATCAGATGATTTAGGTGATGTGATTTTTCAAAGCAGATTAGGACAAGAGAAAAATATGTATAAACCAGAGTTTAGAAAGAACCCAGCAAAACCTGCAAACATGCATTTTAGCACCATAGGCAAAAGAGTACTCCACTGTCAAAAAAGTTACGACATGGAAACAAAACAGTCAAGGAAAGAGCAAAACTCCAGAGTGACACAGTTAATCATCTTGGTGACATAAAGAGTGCATGGACAGTTTAAGATACTTAAAAAAAAAAAAAAAGGAAACCAACAAAACATGAAGAGAACCATGACTGCTGAAAATCTGAAATCCTTGTATATTCCAAGTTTTGTGTCTCACTAATCTATTCATAATAGAGACACTAGTATAATTTTTCTAGATACTAATTCTAAACTTATTATTCAGTTTCAATAAATGAAAAACAGACAGCAAGTAAAAATCAGCTGACTTACATACATATCCAATTACTCCTAATAACTCAGTCTTAAATAGAACTCAGGCCTATTAAATAGAAATTTTAATCCTTATATGACAAAGCATAATTTCACTAGGAGGCACAAAGTAATTTGCTGAAAGAATAGGCCTGTGCTGAGAAGAGACAGGGAAACTCTATATGGTGCATAAGAACATGTTGGCAAAGAGCTCACTTTTTGTTTTTAATTACTGCAGTTTTGAAAGACACATAAAAACATTGTAAATTTACAGGCATGCATATAACCTCTTCTGTTCCTGATTCTTAAAAACTGCATCTTATGCAGGAAAAGAGTCATACCAACTACAGCTCCTGACCCCAAGCCCCACTTGCCTACATTTCACACAATGCACACAACTAAGGATGCAATACATGTAGCAAACAGTGAATGACCATCAGAGCACTGCATCATGGAAGCAGTTTAGAGCCACATTTGCTAAGAGGTCAGGTTCCTGAAAAGCTCCTTAGCTTGTCCCCCATCTGCTTACTCCAGGAATTTGTCTATTCAAGCAACTCAGTCACAGGCTATTCCCACAAGGAAAATACAGTCTCTGAAGTAGGCCTGAGAATACATCACCAGGGCATAACATTGTACAGGAATTCTGTGACTCACTGAGCATTTTCTGAAGGGAAATTGGAGTACCTACACCTTAATTCAATCAGTATGTAGGAACTATCTGCAGGCAGTGCTGCCCAGTCAGCATTAGATAGGGACAACGTTGCTCCTTCTCAGAAAAGAGTCACAGAACCAGATGTGCATGGCACAAGGCCATCTTACCCATTTCCATCCAGTTATTGCAGCACAACATGTATTTGTCTTGCAGGCAACTGATCACTGTCTCCATTGCATTACTTTTTCTCTGCCTGGATTTACTTCTTCATATAATGAAATACAGAAATGCTATAAAAACACTGGAAGGGACCTCTTCCAATGTTCTGTATAAAAAAAAATGTCTGCCTGAAAAGCTTGTAGGCCTTAGCAAACTAGTAATGTTGAATCATAAAACAGATGGTGCTTAAAAAGAGCTACAGAATTAGCAAAGTTCAGCTCCAATTCATGTGATTGTGGCATTAGGGATCCAACCCACATGATTATGGAACAAAAGCAATCACACAGCTTGGAACTTCTCAGTTCCTCACAAACTCAAGCTTTCCATTTGCAAGGTCATATTATACAGTTGTATCAAGATGTATTAGGGCGAGCAGTTCATTTGGAACTTTGGAGAGAGTGTTTGGAAAGGGTTGTTGGCAGTGTGCCTCACTGTGCACCTCACACACAGCTGCTCCTCAACATTTCCATGTTCCAAAGTACTTTATTCATTACTCAGCAGTGTTTCAGAGCTCTATGAAACAGCAAGCCCATGCTGTCACGTTGAAGAACTTACGCCATCCAGGGAATGATGTTTCTGTATTTTAAGGCTATTTACTTAGAAACAAAAGGCATCCTACAGTATTTTGCTTCACCTGGAAGAAAATACTTCACTTACGAAAGACAAGAAGTGTTCAGAAGGTAAACTGTGTGTTTAATAAATCTTCAGCATACTCACATGGGAAATCATCCACAAACATGGGGTCTATATTATGCAGCAGTTCCACTCTGGGAGAAGGTCTTCCTTCACTAAGAGAGATTTCAAAAGGAAAGGTTAATCACCTTCTGTAGCTTATTAGGATTCTGCATCCTTTATTTTAATGTTTTTGTCATCTTAGAGAGTGAGCTCATAACTTTGAATTTATTACTATCAACTTTAATCTGAATACTCCTTCTGCGCAGCAACAACCTTTGCCTCTACAAGTTTTCCCTAACTTCAGTGGTGTTTATTTAGATTATTCATAAGTTTACTGAGTACAGAAGTGGCCCTACCAAAGCAGGGTTTTACAAAAACCAATTTTAAGAGTCAAATTTCACAGCATAAGCTGGCATAGCACTTGCTATGCTCTCTGCTTATCTGAACAAGTGCTGGAAGCGTTATGGCTGGGTGCCTCAAAATACACCACAAGCATTGCTATCCCACAAGAAAACCACCTTTGATTTGTAATTGAGGTCACTAGGATTATTTAGATATATATAATCTTGTTGTGTTAAAAAAGAAAATAATCCTTCATTTTCTAGCCATTCAGTATATAGAGATGGTGAGGAATAAGCCTCTGAACTTATCCATAAATTTTCTTACCTAAGTAAATCCCAGACCTAAAAAACTGAGTAAATGAAATTTACTCCTTATAAAGGGCAACATGAGTAGGAAGACATAATTAGAAAGAAACATATCTCCACAAGGACACGACAATAACTTATTATTTGACAGTGAACCTAAATACATCCTTTCAAAAATTTCCAAATAATTTAAATTGCTTTTTCTTTCATTAAGGAGCTTAACTTAAGACACAAAAAATTCAAACAGGGCCCCTAAGCTTCCTGACATTAAGAATAATAACTCAGGTGATATAAAACTCATTGGAGACATAAGAAAAATTATAGTTATTTTAACTATGTAACTATTTTATAGTTATTTTGTATATTATTAAACAGTATTTACCTGTAAGTTAAATTTCGCAGTAACAAACAAAATAATATTTTTCTGTTACATTTCTAAAAACATTTCTGGATGATACATTTTGAGGGAATACCAAACTATCAAGAAGAACTAAAAGATTAAATGCATTCAGGTAATATAGTATTGTAATTAATACAGAGGAATTACATTCATTAAGCTACAATTTTAGTAATTCAATGTATAGAAACTGCCACAAAAAAGGGTTTTCCCAAAGTATGGGTGAAAGACTAACTGTGCCCCCCCCTGCCAAGTGTATATAGTAGTCACACTCTTATTTTAAGAATGCTTGGCCTTATTTAAACAAATTGTATCTTAGATTTAATAAACTCTATGTGCTCCATTGACAGCTGTGTTCAAGTGTGCCTTTCACCATCTGTTCATAGGTAACAGTAACAAGAACCAGTTAGCAAAAGTTAAACTAGGTTTCAAATTCATAGCCTGTGATTGACTCTGCAATAACTGCTTAAAAACTGGGAAGGTTTTCTTTCAGTTTCTGAACTGTATCTACATTTTCCAGAATATTTTAGAAGAAAGAAACCAACAGAGTTATGCCAAGTAACCCAGTATCTTCTACCAGAGTCAAATACAGCACAATTAAGTAACTTACTCCTATTTACTTCTCATCTCTATATATTCAGTATTCCTACAGTGCTGCTCAGTATTCACACAGTACTGAGTGAACAGCAGGGCAGGGAGGGGATTCTGCCCCTCTGCTCTGCTCTGCTCTGCTGAGACCCCACCTGCAGCTCTGGGGGCACAGCTCTGGGGGCACAGCACAGGAGGGACAGGGACCTGCTGGAGGGAGTCCAGAGGAGGCCACAGAGATGATCAGGGGGCTGGAGCACCTTCCTTTCTGGACAGGCAGAAAGTTGGGTTTGTAAAGCCTGGAGACAAGAAGGGCTCTGGGCAGCCCTCACAGCAGCATTTCAGTGCTTAATGGGGGCCTACAGGAAAGATGGGGACAGACTTTTTAGTAGGGCCTGTTGTGACAGGAAAAACAGTGATGGTTTTGCACTGATGGACAGTTGATTTAGATTGGATATAAGAAAGAAAATTTTTATTATGAGGGTGGTGAAACAATAGTACAGGTTGTCCAGAGAAGTAGTAGATGATCCATCCCTGGAAACATTCAAGGTCAGGTGAACAGGACTTAGGGCAACCTGATCTAGTTGAGGATGTCCCTGTCTAAAGCATGAGGGTTGGCCTAAATGACCTTTCAACCAGCCTATTCTATGATTCCATATGAGTCTATGATTATGCCAAATATATTCATAGTGTTCAAGCAGACTGAAGGTAACTTCCTTTATAAATTTTAACATGGACAGCGGATATTATATACTAAACATGGCTATTTACATTACAGCTGATAGAATGCAAAAAATAAAGATTATACTTGTACTAATGTAAGTTTTTCATGCAGCAGCCATTACTATTGAATCCATTTTAATTCTGGGATAGAATACTGTTCTTAGTACCTTGGATGTGATTTATATGTAATCATCAGATTTACTCCCTGAAGCTTATGGTGTCACTGCATTAAGCTCCATGGAGCCACTACAATGGTACAGCACTGCTTTTCAGTACGAGTGCTATCCCAGTAACTCTTGTTGTACAGAGCATGGATATTCATAACCAGCATATATCACAAAACAATACCCAAAGAATTTGGCATTGCATGTTGAAAACACCACCTGCCTCACAGCAAAAAACTTCAGGAAAACAGAAAAAAACATTCTGGAGACAGCAGATAGGAAATTTATGCCTGTAAAAGAGATCCGTTTCCCTGGAAGTGCCTTAACTCTGCCCTCCTTTCCATTTACAAAACCCCCCAGAGACACAAATGCAACTACAGACTCACCTTGGCAGATGTTCTGCAAGAGTATTTTGCATCAGGAATATAGTCTAGCCAGGAGAGCTACAATAACAAAGTAATAATATTGTCTAGGGAAACCTGCCTTTGTATTTTAGTAACTGCCTGGGTAACCATATCTTACAACGCTTTAATTTTAGAATATTTATTTTTAGACTTCAATATCCTAATACGTCATCCCTCCCCCTAAACATAAGGAACTTTTTATATTGTCTGGTTATTATTCTACCTGTCAGATGGTAGAATAATTAAGATATGTCCTTATTATTTAACTAAATAGCTAAAAGCTGCTGGTTTTCAAAACAGTCCTCTATGTAAGAACAGCTTAATGAAAGCATGTCGCCTGACTTCGAGGATGGTATGAGAATCAGCTAGTTCATTCTTCTGATTTGCAAAGTTCTTAAAACATACCAAAAGCTCTATTTTTCCTTAGAGACCACAAACAAAGATCTACAAGCAATCTTTTACTTTTGTTTTTAAACAGCCAGAAGGTGTCCTTGGCAAGGAATCCAAGGTTTTTCAGAGTAAGTGTGTTTGTCTTGCACAAAAACATTCTCAGTGTCACTAAGCAAAATCTGAGTCTTTATAACCTTGTCATTTTCTCTAGGTCTTATTTTTAATGTTTTCCTAAAATGATTATATTTCAGTATGTGGGAAATGAACATACTCTCAGCTTTACACTGCTCTTTCTTCTGTATTAATTTATTTCACAACAATGATTTTTTTAAAAACAGGTGTTTGATTTCTAAAATAAATGCTCCCATTCAGTAGAGAAGAATTCAAGCTGATCTTACTTCAGTTACTCCACCCAATCAGTTATGATATTTCAACATTATAAAAGATATTTCAACATTATAAAACTTGCCTTACAAAATATATAAGTAAGACTTTAAACTCTCTGCCTGATAATAAGCTTTGAGAAAATAATAGTTATTTGTACTGTATTTAATCCTGAATCTCTCAGTGGCTATCATACTGCGTCATGTGGTCTACAATTACATTTTTATGTTAACGCAAAATAAATACTTTTTCTGAGCATGGACACACTAGATATTCAGTGCTGAAAATAAAGATGCATCAAAAAAATGTATCAACCAAAGAAAAACTACTTTGCCAAGTGTCTTTATTTCAATAGAGTAGTAAGTATCTGGAGAACAGATGTTTCTTAAAAATGCAACTGCCTTTTGTGATACTTGCTTGGAAATATGCAGTACAATTTAGACTCCTTGACTGGTTGCATTTTAATACCATTCTTGCTATTCTCAACTGCATTTTTGTAAAATCTATCAGCGATATTATCACCATACTTTCAGAAATTACTTGTAATACATACATGGTTTTAGAGCTATATTGTTGTGTTACCCATGATAACCTAAGGCAAGATAGTAGGGAAATATACTATGATTTATTATTTATTTATGAAACTTTATAAAATATTGATACCTGAGACTGGAAAGATCTGACAGCTATCTAAAAATGGGTTGACACAGTGACATCATGCTAAGTTATTTGCAAAAAGAAGTGAAAGACATCAAAGAGGAAGTTACACTTCATTTCAAATGTACTTGAAGAAAATAAAAATTACATAGTACTGGTTTAATTATATGCTGCAACAAAATTTTGCAGAGAAAAATAGTCCAAGATAGGTATGGATGGAGAAAGAGTGGTAAAATCTGCATGTGAAGACAACATCACAGACATGAGAGCAGGGAAAGGGCTCTTGTAACAACTCATGTTAATGACAACCTAGACCAGCACGTCAGCACAGCCCCAGCACATCGAGGCCAATTCCACTGGACAGGGGCATCTGGAATCTAAGCAGTGATGGCCCTCAGGGACTCACAGAGGTAGTGCAGGACACAGATGCAGTATCAAAAGGACACAAATAGGCATGACTGGAACCTCTGTGCAGTTACCAAACCTACGAAGAGCACAGAAGAAGCTCGAAGGACTTCACACCTGGCATCCCTGGACCTCTGCACCACAGCAACAGATGCTGGGCCCATGGGTTCACAAACATTATGGTGTGGGGATGCCAGGTGGATGGCTTGAAATCCTCTGCCTCTGTGTTTCGCTGGGCAGACTTTGCACTACAAGTACTTAATATTAATTGTTGTCATGTTAATGTGATTCCCAATTTGGACTACCAGTCATTTTAAGTCATCACAGAAAGTTCATCTTGGTCTAGAATTTCAGAAAGCATTTAAAAATTTATGTTGAATTTCTGTGTATTGAATATATATTCCTATTTCTATAGTATATTATATTTATACATAGCTATTTTCAGTAGTATCAGATTTATTATAAATTATTGATATGATTACACTTTAGTATTACATGAGCATCATATTAAGAACTCATTTTTAAAATACTGATCATTAATAGACAGAGATCACTGAAACAGATTAAATATTTTTTGACTCCTGATAATATCTGCACCATCCCATATTTCTTTTGAATACCTAAATCAAGGTTCCAATTTTATGATCTTTTTCCTTTTGATTACACACATATGAACCAGCAGGCTCAGGATTAAAGTGTCCTCCCCCCAGAAAAAAAAAACATAAGAAGCTTATGCATTTATTTATATTAGACTGTAACTGAAAAAAAAAAAGATGTAAAACAGTGATTAATTTTCCTTTTTCAAATGAGTTAGAATCTTAGCAAGTTATGATTTCATTCACTGTGAGTCATTTGGTCCCAGAAAAACAACATATTTGAGCTTTTCATCAGATATCACCAAAAGAGCACTATGCCTTCATTGTTTGCTATCCAATATTCAAATGACCTTTTGAATTATGGTCATGAAATTTAATATACTCATTTATCCCAATTGCATGGGAAAATCATGTGAAATTTGACATTTTGGCTGCAAGGTCAGCCAAGGAATAGCCTAACAGTTAGAAAACCTGACTTGTTACCTGTCTAGACAGAGACCCTCTCTTTGACCCACCCAAAACCACTGGTAGTCACCTGTTCCCTGGCAGTGCCAGTAAAGATTGCATTCATTCCCTTTACAAAGACAGAAATTCAAATGTCAGCAGCGTGCTGGCACAGTTGTACTTATCCTTCCCCAACAACTCTCCTGCTGAAGTAACCTGATCTGAGAAGATGAATCCATTGCAAAAATACATGGTTGAAACTGAACTTGAAGTAGGCAGGAATTCTAATGGTAGCTGGAAGAAAAGTCTATGGTGTAGGTATACTCTGGATCTTGCTGATGCAAAGTTTCCCCAGAGGAACACTGACAAAGTAAAAGATTTTACTTTTTCTGGCTGGATGGGAGTCTCCATTCCTTCCTGGCAGTTAATGATCCTTGGCCTCAATTACACATATCATTATCTTCTTCCACTTGGGAGAGAGCCACACAGTACACCTGGGCACAAGGCCATGAGCTTCCTGTAAACTCCAGCTACTGCAGAAAACCACCCCTTAGCTCTTTAGAAACACAGGCAACACTAAGAATTAAATCAAGATTACCAGCATCAAACAGGTAATGTTACAGGTATAGACAAACCAATTCTGAACTCAAAACATAGGGTTTAGTTCTGGGAAGGTGTAGGGGGTATTTGTAGGTTTGGTTTTGCTTTTCATTTTCACTCCAAGATCCATATAGATTGATCCAGGCATGGGTACATGGGTTCAAATCTGCCTACTCTAACTCTCAGTTTCTCGTCTCAGTCCCTAACTCAGACAGCACACCTGCTCATGCTTGTTTAGGAACTGCTTTTAACTCTTGCAATTCCCAGTCTAGGATACTAAGACACACAAAAAAAGAAGGGGACAAAAGGTGATAACACACATAATATAGTATGATCTACCTGCTATAAAAGCAGAGCAAAGGCTACCAAAAGAAACAGAACACTAATCTTTGACTGAATTGAGTGTAGGAAATGGAATTGTTAGTCCTTTTATTCTGCTTTAGCAGTATTGAACTTTCCATCCTAATTATTTTTATGTGAATTGAAACTATATTCAAAGAACTACTAAAAAATATATCCTCTAAAAAGAAGAGAAGAGGATTTAGCTCTATCAATGCATACATTATATGCACCACAGAAAATGAAGAAACAAAGGAATTTAAACCAACACAATTTTTGCAAAAATAAAGGCTGGTCACAGAACTTTCAAATTCTGCAGAAACTTAGCTTTTAAGGACTTTGTAATCATTTTTACTGGAATAAAAGAACATTGAAATAACCCAGGTGGAGCTATGTTGCCTCTTTTTCCAGTCATCTAAGCATGTCTGCACTGTGCTTTTGAGTATTTCAGCTTGCTTGAATCAGTCACACCATCACAACCTTCAGGAACCAGGTCAGGTGTACTTTGTACTCGATCTCAAAAGCTTTTCAAGACACTGGACAGCATGACACAGGTCTATGCAAATGGTTACACTGTGAGCCAGCCTGACAATTCCTGTACTGAGCTAACAAACCATCAAAGTGGGATCCATGTTCAGTGAGTTTAATGTCTGCACAGATTTCCCACATGTCCAATTCCAGATGCATACTGCAGACACACCTAACTGAACTCTGTAGAGAGCAAGTTTGATCCATAAAAATTACTAACTTGTAATCTATGCTGTGCAAAATCAGTCAGCCTACTTCAAGATCACAGAATGTTCTTGAAGAAGTATACATGCCTGTGAGCTGTTGTGTTCATACTGAAAAATGCAAAATACCAAGTTAAAACTGTATGAAGGCTTTGCATCTGCAACCAGAATTCATTTGCTACCTGGATAATTCTCTCATAGATAGCACAACTGACTGCATTTATACCTTCCCACTTTTACAGGAAATGAACAGTGTATATTTCCCTCCCAGTCCAGTTCTGTTTCCTGGGCTGATTAACTTCTTCTCATACCAGAATGATGACGTGGTGATTTGACATGAAAGTTACCTGATAGCGCTCCAAACATCAAAGCCATCCAAAGGCTTACTGCCATTGGTATGTCCACCGGCCAGGTGTACCAGCGTTGGCAGCCAGTCAGAGATATGGATGAGTTCATGACTTTCTACACCTTTTTGTTTCAGCAAAGGACTTGCAACAAAGCCTACACCTCTCACTCCTCCTTCCCAGAGGGTCCATTTTCTCCCTCTCAGTGGCCAGTTATTCCCCCCTGCTAAAGTTTGTCCTCCATTATCTGAAAAACAAATAAACAAAAAGAATTCTTGGTAAGAAAGAAACAGAACAATCCTTCCCCACAACACCTTTTTATCCATTTGAAAAAATATTTTCACAATACAGCTATGTCATGTGAGTATTTGCATACTGCTGTTAGGTGTCCATATAATGTCAAACATTCAGGGCCAAGGAACAAACATATGTTACACTTTAACATATATATTACATCAATGAAAAGCTATCACTAGGCAGAAATTATCCTACACTAGAAGACAGGAATTTAGAAAGACTGTGCTAAGAATGACTTCTGACCATGATTCAAAACACCATTAGATATCCAAAGCCTTCAGAACCAAAGACTTCAAAAATTTAGTTTCAACTAATTTAAGGATCACAAGAAGAGTTGCTATCAATGCCATCCTTAGTACTCAGAACACACTGGTTTCCAAAGCAGTAAACTATGCTTAAAATAGAAACCTGTTATTCCAGTCCCAGGACAATACTCACACACCCAGTCTTAAAAGCAGGGGGTTTTCCATATTTTTAGGCAGCTACACATAAGGTTAGACAAAACAGGGCTTCCTTCTCCTCAGACAGAATGATAAAGCCCTAATAAAATTAATTTAAACTAACATAACTGAAGTGATTCAGAAATTGAATTCTTGTTTGGTGAGAATAACATATAAGGTGGTTACAGAAAAAGCTGAATCCCCACGACTACAGAAATATCTACATGAATTCAAGCGGGCTCATGGTATGCTCTCCTTTTTAACTCTCTCTGACCAAGCTTGCACGCTTAGGATAAAACCCAGATCCTTGAAGTTAACAGTAATGATTCTTTGAATTTACATCAGTACTGTTATACAATTTTTCTTGCCTAGTGTAATGTTCTCAGAAGTGTCATTGCTGGCAATTCTGTAAAGCATAATTTTCCTCTATTTTAATGAGGTTAAAATTACTTCAAATAGTATTTGCTGAACTGACATTCAGTACAATTTGACAGGTTTGTATTGTATTTTCTAATTAAAAAACTTGAATTTCAGGGAAGAAACAAGAAGTCCAACCCCTTACAGAAGAACTTCACTGTAACCAGAACAAAATTATCTTGCTGGTTGACAAGAGTTCAATAAGCATTTGTACATACTCCTTGGCACATGGTGTGATCCTGAGGGATGGTTCTGTGCAGGGCCAGGAGTTGGACTCAATAGTGCCTGTGGGTCCCTTCCAAGCCCCTTTCAACTCAGTTTATTCTGAAATCCTGGTTTTAATTAGGAATCAAGGTAAACCCCCACATCTTTCTACTGCACTTTTGTTTTACAAGGGAATAAACCACAGATATCTGTGAAAACTTTGAAAGGCAGAAGCCTAAGCTAAATGAAGCACTTGCCAAAAAAATTTATTTGAAAAGTGTTAAACATCCCGTGGCCCAACTAGTTTCCAGTTGGGTTGCCCACGTTCCTGCACTTTTGGATTAAAAAGAAATTAATGAAGACTGCTATCATTATTTTTTGCACAACAATGTTAAGCTCTGAGATCTGAGAATTTAAAGCAATTGCTGGTTACAACAAAAATGTAAAAAAGAACTATGTCAGACCACAACAATCAGTTTCAACAATTCCTTCTTATCGTAATGTAAACAGGAATTCCTGTCAGAGATACTCATGGGACAGAGTTTTCAGTAGATTTTAACCTTTGGTGGCCTTAGGATAAAAGGCATTCGACTTTTAATGCAGGCACACTGCAATGGAGCAGAGTTTGGACATACAGAGGAATCAGAACTTAAACATTTCACATATCTCCTTTGTATCACAAACTGCTCACTGTCTGTGTCTGTTCAATAGTAGTACAAGAGAATTTTTCTAATTCCTGATTATCAGCAACAAAGTACCAAGGAAATTATAGAAGTAGGTAGTATTTCTGAAGAATAGGGAGAGAGAAATTTGCACTTCTCGGGTTACAGTCAAATCTTTATGTTACTTACTTTTCCTTGCTTTCTCTAAAACCATTCACATTCTGCCAGTTTCTCTACACAATAACTTCCCTGATAAAGGGAGTCTATCTAACATACATTCTGAATAAAATTTATATCTTTTATTAATAGTATATCAAGTTTAAAAGAAAAGGGAGAAAAATTGTTTTGATAGTTGATCTGATATGCAAATTAAAAAACAATGAACATATGAAACAAGGCTCATCCCCCTAATTTGGTAGCTCATTCTCACATTGCTAAAACATTACTTTTTCCTTCCTTAGGAATTTATGTTCAAGTGCTCCTTCCTGCGTAATTTCTTGATTGAGTTATCAAGAAAGTGTTGAAGGAGGGAGAAGGATGGTTGATTATTAAGGTCTGGTTCCTCTCTAGGTAGGCAGAACGTAAATGATGTGTCACTAACAGCTTGCATGTAAGCAACACCTTCAACACAGTCTGAAATGTTATCAAGGACTTCAAATACCTACATTTTGTTAAAGAGGAGTTCATTACATAACAATGAAAGACCCTAATGGGATCTGTATTAATAAAATATTAAGCTAACTACTAAATAATAAAGGGAGAGGGAATAAACAAGAAGCCACTGGTTGCATGGAGTACACACCTGACAGAAAGTCCACTTAGGACTGTAATTGCTGTTGGGATCTTGGTTTTACCTCCAGGAGTATGTCTGGACAGCAAGAGACAAGATGGGCACTGGCTCTGTGTGTGTGTGTTCGGGTACATTTCCTCTAAATCAAGATCTGTGGATGTATATATTGATGCCAAAAGCTTGTGTGGGTTCAGAAAGTCAGTGAAGAAGTCAAAGTTGAAAAAAGTATATAGTTCCTATATGAAAACACATGACCTCAGTCGCACGAGTTTCTTCAGCCACAAATGCTGAAGATTTACAAGTTTTCACATGTTTCCTAGACATGTGCCACGAAGAATTGCCATAGTGAGAGGGTTCCTGGCTAGACAGATCCTTCATCTGTGGAAGCACAACCACTCTCATTTTCTCCCAAATAAGTTATTCCTTACTAACTCCTTATGCTATTTTACCCATGTATCTCAAACATGGAACTAACTCCAAGTCCAAGTGGAAACTCACATTAGTTTAAAACACATACTTAAAAATCCACCTGTTTGTGAGACAAATGGAATCATTGCTTCTTCATGTTCTACACTGGCTTCATATCCAATTCTAAATCCATTTCAAAACAATATTTTCTGAACTATTTATCATACATTTTTGTAACCATTTCTCTCCATGACTTACCCTATCTTATGTCAGAAGACAGTCTCCAGAGCAAAGCTTTTGGAATTAAGCTACCTACACCTTGTGGACCCGATTTATAAGATTGCTTAGAATTAAAGTTTCAGCCTTGCTACTTCAGCTGAAAACACAAACCTCCCCCAGGCATGATACTTCATTATTTCTTTGCTGGAGACAAATATCAAATATGATTTTCATTAAAAATCTGAAATAGTGTGGAAAATGTAGTGAATGTATGTTTTTTCTTATCTGTAGAATACTTTTTGCAATTACATCAACATAATTTAGACTACAGCAGTACCCACAACACACTAGGGGTATTAAAAATCATAAAACTAACCAGCTCTTGTCCCTGAAGAAATGATGAAAGGGGAGTGAATAAGGCTGTATCTAGAAATTAGGCCCCCTGGCATAAGTATTATATAGCCAATTTATGCAGCTCTTTCTTTAACAGAAGAATCACACATTTTTAAGCTTTATTCCTTGCTTGGCTTGGCTTGCTTTGAGAGATGTTTAGCTACCATTGTTTCCCACAGCATTAATCACTCCTATTATGTATTATTTTAATGAAGGGGGTACCTAGATGCTTTATTTCCATTCTCATTGAATTTTATTTCCATTCTCACTGAATTTGCTTCTACAAGTTGAAATTTGTGGCAACAAATGAGAATATGAGGAAAAGCCACTCTCACTAATACAAGAATGGGCTGAAACAGAATTTTCACCACACACCAGCACCACCAATGAAAAAATGCACAGCACACATATGCTGGGTAAATGACAAAACAAGAGAATAAAGGAGAGCAATGGAAGCATCCTGGCTACTTTAAAAGGTAGTTTCCATCAAAGCTGAATCAACACCAGCTTCAATGGAACAAGCAGAAACAACAAAAATATGTCACAAAGTATCTCCATCCCAGAAAAATTAGGTGAAAATAGGACTTATTTTCGTCACAGAAAAACAGAGAATATAACCAATTCTTAAAATGCAGATGATTGTCTTTTAAACTAATGTGGTTCTCTTATTAAAAATAAAGAAGAAGAAGGGTTACTTTAAAAACTATATTTAATAAAAACCTTTCAACATAAGAAAATCAGATGCAAAGTAAAGCTTGTGTGTCTTGAATATAAATACAACTTTAAAAATGAAGGCAAATGTTCCTTCTCACAAACATCTGCTTTTGTAATTAATATTCATTGTCATATACATGAGAAAGAGTTTAACTTGCTAAATCTGTAATTTCTAAACTGTAAGAGATGTTTTGCAGGAGTTTTTAAGGGAATCAATAAACAAAACTATACAGCGGGGCCCTTCTGTTTCTCCCAAATACTTCTCTGAAGAGTTGCCAGCTGCCAAACATTTTGACTAGCAGTGTATTTATACAGTGATGTGGGATGTGTGTAACGAGCAAGCAGTTTAATGAATAAGATTTCTTTAAAGAAGAGACTGACAATAAAAACCATCAATTCTGAGAGAAATAATTAACAAAGCACATATTCAAGTCTTTGGATGGACTCACTTTCTCACAAAATTACCCTGAACTGAAGCTACAGTCAGCTTTGCACTCTAAAGATACCATTGGAAATAGATGCTCACAACTATGGGGAAAGCTTTATATGGGATTTGTACCTCACTAGACAGAAGAAAACCAAAAAAAGGTAAAAGTGTTGATTTAAGAACAAACTCTGACAAATGCCCTTCCCAGGATCATGAACATCTCTTGCCTGTATGCATTCATTGCCAAGAAAAATTCACAGTAGTTACTGAACTCAA